CTGATCTTGTGCCAATTAAGAAAAATTATTTGATATTCTAAAATCAGAGTAAGTTTCTGCTGTGTGAATTACAAACAAAGCTGAATTCTGGGGTACAGGAAGGGCATGGATATCCAGCTTAGAAAGATTTTGTTCTGCCTAGCAAATGTCAAGTTACCTTATCAAAAAGGGGCCAGGGTCCCTCAAGAAGAAGATGCACTGCTCCAAATTTATCGCAGCATTGCATATTAATGTCACTACCAGCTCTGAAAACTGAACTGCATGTAAATCTCCAGCAGCAACAGAAATTTGAGAAGTCCCTCTTCCTCCTGAATACCATACTTAAAACCCCAAACACTTTCTAGACATTGCTGCTTACAGTAGGGTATCTAATAGAAACAGACTGAAGAATTCACATGAGAGTGGTCAAGAGCCTCATAAGTATGAAAATGACTGCTATATTTAAAAAATTCAACAGAATGGAGGGGGAAGTGAATCAAGCCACATAGTCCAAGGAAAAAGAAAAAAAGGGAAGTAGTAGTTAACAGAAGGAGGAAATGTTCAGCAGAAGAAAAAATAAAAGACAATCTTACAAGCAAGATGCAAGGCTCCCGTTCTAAAGAAGGGAAAAAGAAAATTCAAAACTTTCTTCAACCTACTTTGGTAACAGAGACTATGAAATTAGCATCCCACTGGAAGCAGACCAAAATTATTAAGACTGAAAAGTGTAACTTCTTGAAAGGTAAGATCCCAGAAGGGTCACAGGATACAAGGTAACTGTTACCAGAAGAATCACTGCTAAATGTTCATCTGAAATCTAATCTTATCTATCCTTCAAAGATAGGAGGAGAAAGAAGGGAGGTGGGGACAAAGGAGGAAGAGTTAAAAAAAATACACTAACACTAAAAACAAGAGCTACAGTGCCCCATTCAGCCTTCCTGCTCATATGGGGAATCTCCATCTGCAAGTCAAAAGGCATCAATCTCATTTTGCAACTGCCTGCACACTGAGGCAATCTTACAAATGGATCACTGAGGAAAAAAAAAAAACAGGAGGAAAAGAAAAATTGTACACAGAAACAGCAAGAAAAGCAGAAAAGATGGCTCATGCAACTGCATTACACCTTACAGCAAACATAGGGGCCAAAACCAAAGATCTGGAGAGGCACTGTCTAATGCAGAGGGGAGTGGCTGAGCTGAGCTTTGCACTGTTATGAAAACAATGCCAACCATGAACTGCTAGAGCAGAGTACCAGTGAAATGACTGACTGAATCAGCAGAGTCAGAGCATGAACAGCAATCACTCTGTCAGACTGACACTGTGCTTCAAAAACAAAAACATTGCACAACTTCAGTTCCACTATCAGAATGTTCATGACAAGTGAAATTTAAGCTTATTTTAAACAGCCTAAACCTCGTTATCTGCAGGATAAATCATGCATCCAGCAAAAGGCTCTTTCAGGCTCTCTGCATGGCAGATCATCTCTGAAGGGGTCACTGAACTCCATTCATTTAATGGAATCACAAGCTGTAAGGCCTGCTTATGACTCTGCAACTTAAAAGCTCTTTGCAATTAATTAAAAGACCAAAGAAGTCCTTAAACAAAGACTTGAAGAAAATATAAAAATTTTTGAAAACCTTTAAACACATCATCTGTCTTGGCTACTACCAAGCTCAACATCTTCCTATCACTTAGGAAATCAGAGTCCCTCAGAACTAGGCCCCCTTACCTCATAATCACTACTGCAAGTGAAGGACACACATCGGCTCCTATCATCAGCTTTTCTGAATGCAAGGTGAAAAACCTCACCATTTCCTCCTCAGTGTCAATACTCCTACCATCATTACCATAATTAAAGTAAAATTAGGAAAATGCAATTGCTACTATTGCAATTGCAAATGCAATTGCTTGAGATTTCAAGACCAGATCTCACATTCATTCACTGCACATCTTCATTCCCTGTATTATTTTATCTCTACCACAGTCCTAACAATCTCATGAGACAAATTTTGCCATTCTTCCCCTGATTCCTCCAGCTTTGCTTCTCATTTTCTCTATACTGAAATCTGTGCAGGCTTCAGTCTCTCCCACAAAGGTAAAGCTTTTTTCCCTCACACCCAGAGAGCTCTGTGCAGCAGAGCACACACCTCTCTGGCCAGAAACACAACTCCTCCTCATTTATAGGTACTGGAATGACTGGGAATTCATTTATAGGTACTGGAATGACTGGGAATTCCACCCCATCCCATGTGCCCACCTGCAATGCATCTCCATTTTTGGCTGCAAACAGGAGGATGGACTTCCTCCATTTTCAGAGCCTCACAACAACCAAGAACTCTCACCCATTCCACGTGCTTATCTCTTAGTATTTCTGTCTCTACATCTCTAGTCTCTCCATTGGCACAACTTTCCTGCTGGCAGGTGCAACACTGGCATGTGTATCAGTTCTGAATGCTAGCAGAGAAAAACAATCAATGCCGTCAATTCCACGTTGCTGCTCCTTCTCCACTGCACCAGAAGCAGAGAGGTTGCCTCTCTCAAGAAACAAGAGACTGCACTTGCCTGCATGAGGCTGATTTTTAGAATGCACTGATGACAGCTTCTACAAACTCAGCTCACTACACCTGAAGGAGAATATTTTATTCCTATTCCTATTTTATCCCCTGCCCCTCATATATCCTGTATGTGCAAGCCTTTCAGTTTTCCATAATTACCCAAAATCATCTAAATTTACCCATGCTGTTCAATTCCACCCTGTAGGCTGCCTAAAATTTTCATTTCTCCTTCTATCCTACCTTCCTGGCCTTTTCTACAGCACCTAAGTATAATCTTTCACCCCAAAACAAAACCAGAATCACCTCCACACTGCTTCTGCCTGCTATTTTCTTTACTTGTCAGTATTTCAAATTCATTCCACGTTCACTCATTACATGCTGCAACCACAATCCCTCTGGTATCTTTTTCCAGTCTGTAGCTTCAGCACTCCCAATGCACAAGTCCTGACTATTCCACCCACCTCAATGTCATTCTTAGCTTTCCTCTGTACCCAGGATTCTATGTGCCTGCCCCCCAGCCATTCTTTCCTCCCTGCATCATAACTGCATTTTTCCCTTTCCTCTCTGCACAGTAAATTATTCACAAGATTAACAGCACAAACCTGTTCTTTAATCTACAGTCAAATACTGAATCACTTTTGAAAGGCTGGCAGCTCTCAGCAGAAGAGTCAGTGCATCCTTCACTTTCTCAGCCTTCTCTGCAAAAATATACAGTTTAATTAAAATAAAGTTCTTCTTTTATGGAGGAAAATATGCCACAAATATTTTGGTTTAGAAACTACTTCCTCTAAATGGAAATGTGCAGACTCAGATACCAAACAGCTATCATTTGCCTTTGAAAATTTATTTGTTGCATGTAGATAAGTTTTCAAGGAATAAATGTAAGGTAAAAATATCTGTTCTGAGTACTCAGCAACTAAAAAAAAAAAAAGAATTTGTGCCTTTGAATATAGAAGCTCTGAGGCTCTGAGAGAAGTACCTTTTCCAGATACAAGTGGCAGAATCTCTTTAAAGACAAATCACATAAATTATTCAGTTACCACTATCAGTGTCAATTTCTTTAAGCAATGTGAAAGAATATTTCATCCTGTTATTGCAATATGGTTCTAAGATTTACTAACTTGACTCTTTAACACTGGTAGGACACTACAGCAATCAGAGCAAATACAGTTATTAATTACACAGCTTTGCAAGAAGGATTTGGATGAGTTTCCTAGCAGCTATCCTTGAAGACAAAACTACTTCACCAACATCAAACAGGTAATGAGCATCATTTCTAAAGGCTTTTTCCCAGTCACCTTTTGGACAGGAACAAAGGGGGGGGAAAGCCCTAAAATGGAGCACTTGAAAGAACTGAAATTACATACTTAAAACCCACTTGGACACCACCAATCAAGATCCAAGTAAATAAAAAAAACCCTCTCAGAGGTAAATGAATCACAGACTAAGATATTCATGGAAATTAGTGAAAAAATGAAGTAAGGTAGCAGACAACCTAATCAGTAGACAAAAAGGCATATTGATATTTCTCTACAAGCTTGGCTGATCCTGTAATTACAGGTATAGGCCACAATCAAAGTAACCTAAATCTACACAACAGCTGTAATTTATCTTTCCTTTAAAATAAAAGAAAATTGATTAAACTAAGTAATGGAGTGTACATTTCAAATTCCTCATATTTCGATGTAAATATAAAAGCATCAACATCTGCTTTAAGGTCACTGGAGACTGGGAAAGGTCACACTAGAAATAAAAGCATGTATTCTTGTACTGTCATCATATACTCATGTATTGTCTTTTAGTTCCCAAGATTTACTGTTGATCACAGCAGGAACCCTTGCCTGACATCTTGTCCTACCCCATATGGCCATTTCTGTCCAGCACCACTAATGAACTAACCCAGCATTCCCCCCCTTATCCTGAAGGCCTCAAGCATTCCTTGGGAGATGTGATCTTCATAAAATAAAGAAAGCCTGGAGCAGCAGCTACATGAGATTTCAAAAGTCTAAGTATCTAAATTTTAACTGCATTTTAACTAGTACTAAATGACTTAGCCTATAAAAATTAACAGCCTAAGAAACGAGATGATTTACGGTTTAATTTTTAAATTACGGCGATTTTTTGCAACACGTTCTCGGTTTTTCCCCAATTCAGTTTCGTTCGCGCATTTCTAATAAATTACCCGGCATCCTCATTTCCCTAATAGGTAAGAAAACCTAAGGCCTCTGGCAGCTTCTGGCTGACGCCATCGCTAATTCCACACCCCCTTTTTTGACAGGATTGACGGCGGACCGAGCCGCCGCTGCCTTCCCCACGAGCCCACACAAGGCCAGCGATGTGCGAGCGGCTCCGGCGCTGCCCGCAGCCCCCGGGCCGGGCCGTGCCGCCTCCCGCCGCCGCCGGGCAGCTCCAGCGAGGCGCCCGCTGCCCCTTCCAGCCCTCCCTTCCCGCCGCCCCGCCGCTCACCTTTGGGGAACAGCAGCTTCACCTCCCCGTTCTCCTCCCGGCTCAGGGCCCCGCCGCCATCTCCCGCCGCCGCCACAACGGGCAGCGCCCCGTGCTTCCTCCTCTCCTTGTCCCGCTTCTCCTTGGGTCTCTTGGGCTTGGCGCTGCCGCCGCCGCCTCCCGCCTCGGCCGCCAGCGCCGGGCGGTGCCGGTGGTGGCGGTGCTGGTGCTGCGGATGGGACGAGGAGGGGGAGGCGGACGGCGGCAGCAGCACCGCGGGCGGCAGCAGCTTCCGGGACAGCGGGGAAGGGAACGCAAAGCCCCCCGCGGCCGCCGAGGGGCCCGAGGGCAGCGCGGCGAAGCCCCATGGCCCGGGGCCGCTGTAGCCGGGCACGACCGCGGGCAGCGGCTGCTTGGCGCTCCCGCCACCGCCGCCCCCTTCACCGTTGACGCGCTTAGCGCCCTTCAAGCTCCGCTCCTCGGCTCCCTTCACCTTCTTGGCGGCCGGCTGGGATCCGCGGGAACCTTTCGCGTCCGGGGCCGTCCTGGCGCCGAGCAGCTCCTGCTCGGGGGGCGCCGCGCCACGACCCGGACTGGGCGGCTCCGCCATCTTGGGCTCCGGCGTCTATTTACTCTCGGCTCGCCCCAACCGATAGCGCCGGGGGCGGGGCAGTGCCACGGCCTCACCCAATGGGCCGGGGTGGCGTCGGACAGACAGCGAGAGCGACCAATCGCAGAGCGGGGAGAGGGGGCGGGCTCTCAGGGGATTGGGGGCGGTGGCTCGGCTGAGTGCGCAGGGCGCGCGGGGGCGGCGTGAGGGGAGCGCGGCGGGGTCCGGGGCAGGGAGAGGCGGCGCGCCTGGGGAAGGCGCTTGCTTGGGAGTTAGGAAGGTTCGGACCCCGGCGCATCCCGGGGCCTTCATTAACGCCTCAGGTTTGGGGCTTCTCTGCTCTGGGAGCGGCTGTTGGGATCCCCGCAGCCCGCGGGCTGTTGCTGGGAAGGGCGTTTGTTCGGGAATAAGCAAGGTCTGGACTAGCGCCGTTCCCGGTGGATGTACCCCGGGAGGCGATGAACCTGTCCCTCGGGGTGCTTGGGGCCGGGGGATTGTTCGTTCTGTGCTCTCCCGCATGCTTGGAGGGACTCAGGTGAAGCTTGGAAGCTCCGGAGGGCCTGAGGGGAGGAGGGCAGAGGCTGCCGAGCCCGGCGGCTCTGCGAGTGCCGGTGCCCGCCCGCCGGGACAGCCGGGCGTCTGTCACAGGGCATCACTGACCGCCGCGCCTCAGGGAAGGGGTTTGAGCTCAGTGTCCCAAACAAGAGCCCCCACTCGTCCCTTTAGCCACTAAAGCTGCCAGAGCCGCGGTTCAGCAGCAGACTGAAATTCCCCCAGGTTCTGGTGCCAGCAGGAAGCGTCGTGGAAGCGCATGGAAATTTCTTTGGAGTGTTAGCAGTGCCGGGCTCCTGCCCAGGTCAGTGACACCTCAGGTCTCCTGGTTGCCGCGGGGAGAACAGAGTCGGTGCCACATTAAACCGAACCTGGCAGATGGCAGCCAGATGAAATTGCTCTGAGAAGTTCTGTACACGACGTATCAGCAGACAAACAAGGTTTTAAGTTTCGATTTTTTTGCTCCACAAAGCATTTTCATTTGAGCTGCCACTGAGGGCCTCAGAATAAGCTCCTAGCACTTGGGCTATCTCCTCCTTTGTTTCTTTTCAAACTGTAAACCAGGTTGAGTGCAATTCAGTGTTCATCTCAACAGCAGCAAAGAATAGATTTCCTATATCCAGACAACTCTGCCTTTCCTCAGATGTTTCAAGCTCCACTACTGTAAGAGTGTATCCTCAAACTGTACTTCTGGGCCTGATGGGGAAAATGGCACGTGTGTCAAAGGAATTGTCAACTCACATCCAACCCCGGACTGAAATCAAGGTACAAATCTACCCATGTGTACATAGGCTGGTAAACTAGAGTGGTTAAGGGAAGGTGACCCATCCACCTTAGTCCAAATCAGTGATTATTGTATTCATATTGTTGTTATCATATTTCTAGAGTCCCCTACCTTCTGGCTGGTTTTCTCACACACAGCTCTCCATAGCAGTGTTGTTCTTGCTGCTTCATCAGGGCTCCTCCAAAGCTCTCCCTGACCAGCCAGCCCACCCCCTTTTATCCCAGTTATCTTCATTAGCCACAGCTGCCACCCAATGAAGGACATCACAGCTGCAGCCCATTTAGAACAACTAGGATTGGGGCAAGGCCACTTATACAATATATAGATTTTACTAGGACGCCTACGGTAAGTGATTTTGCTTCAGCTGATGTTAGAGATGCCACAATATGCACACGAGGCCATTGGTATCCCTACAAACCAGTCCCTAATGGAAACTGGATTCTACAGTGAGAATTTGAGGCACCTCATGGCACTGTCTCAACTTCACAGGCTTTGCAACCAAGTTCATCTTCTATGCCAGTATTGATCCCAAGTCACAGCATATTAACTCACTCAAAGTTCAGATAAGTCACAATCATATTTTCACCTCTCACTTTTAGGGGCTTTCAGTATCACAAGAGCAGCATTTCTTTGTTCCTTAACTACAGTAAAGCCATGGTTTTGGTTCAAGGAGCTTGACCACAACCTCTGTGAAAGAGTACATCACTTTTGTCCATGCAGCAGACTTAGCAAGACCTGTTAGGCTAATGAGTGGATAGCTGTATAAATAGCTGAATATCTTGATATGTGCACTTACATCAATGTTAATAATTAAGGCAGTTCATATTTCTGACCTTCATACTGGACATCCTTGGATGTCTTAAAAATGCATTGAATTATAATGCAACTTAGCAATATGAAAAGAGATACAAAGATAAAACTGGTGAAAGAACTCATAGCCCAACACTTGATTTAAAACTGACAAATAAACTTATAAATGTGCAGCAACCTTTAACAGCTGACAATATGCTACTAAGCTCAGGTCAGGCTGAAGTTCTTCCCTGTGCTTTCTGAAGCAGCATGTTGAGCTTGTAAGCATGAGCCAAGTTTTTATTAGTGAATTCTTTATAAAATTCAGCTGGAGCAAGATGACAGAGTACCTATTACATGTAATTGTTGCTTGTTGGAAAGCAGTGTGACTAATGTTTGGAGGTTTGCTGCTGCTATCTCATACCCATTTGTCAGCAGAGGAAATTGCAGGGTGCATGAAATCCAGAAGCCAGCTCTGTTTCAGCTCCCACAGTCTGCTGCTGGATGGGCATTAGGGGGAGGGCTGTTGTCCCTGTCACTTGTTTTGTCACCAATCACACAGATGAATTAAAGTGTTCCACCTTACCTATGGTGAGCACACATTGCAAAGCATTAAAACTGAATTTCAGGGTGTCTTCCTTACTACCTGTTTTTACTTTAATTAAACCTCTGGCTGCTGATGCACATATCCCAGGCAGATGCTCCTGAATGAGACAGACAAGATGAGAAACACCAAAACTGCTTCAGAAAAAAAGAGTGTCTTTAACAAAAAGGGGGTAAATACAAGCAGTGTAGCTTGTGTAAAATACAGAATCAGAAAATTGTTCTGATGTTAATTGAAAAGAGTGAAATATATATGAAGTGATACAGTCTTGAGAAACACTGCCAAGACAGTGCCCCAAACCCAACTCCTGCACAGAACCACAGCAGTGTGTCATGTCACAAGTGCAGTCCCACAGAGAGAGCAGTGTGAACTGCAGTCTGTGGGGATCAGTGCTTGGGGTGTTGGCAGCACCCCACACACAGAGAGCAGAGAGCTCATCTCTTCCAGCAGAAGCCTTGAAAGTGACTGTAGAAACTATAGAAATGTACTTTTGTCTATAGTTTTATGTGCACTTAGGGAAATCCATGAAGACTTTCTAGACCATGGAGACCGAAATGAGGCAAAAGCATGACAGTAAAAATGTCAGACACAAAGCAGTCCAGTATCCAACATGCATTAATAATAAGCTTCCCATGTTATTAGCCTGCTTATTGCAAGTGCTTTGCCATTTAAATTAGGATAATTATGAAATGCTGATATAAATGGTTATTAATCAAAGCATTTCTTTAAACAAATTAGTGTATATGCTCACCTAAACTTAGAATCATTTCAGACATCCTGTATAAAATAAAAAGCTGAATGTAAATGCTGTACACAGGTTGAGTTACAGTGTTTTGGCTTTGTACTCTTAACTGCCTACCAAAGTGATGCTTTGTAGCCTTTCTCAGGTCTCCAAAGAGAAAAACTGCTTTCAGAAATGTTATTTAATCTTTTTATAATTCCAACACTTTTCTCTCCATGTGCTTACTTCCTTGGTTTGGCATCTGCTCAGTTCTTAAGTCAAGCATGGAAATAATTGTGCCAAGTGTAAATTGAAAACATTTGATAGCACTTAGATGTCCTTATACTGCTTTTTGTCTGCAAAATTAGCTAACTGTAATTTTTAATGTTATTCATTTTTCCTTCAGACTCATTGAAAGTCAGTTAATTCATCTTTGGAAATGGAGGTGAAAACCAGCCTTAAGTGCACAGATAGAAAGGTGATCTCATCATGTAAAAGTGTGATTTATTTTAGAGAGCTTCATTTTCCATAGTCAGGGTTTTCAGAACAAGCAGTGACATCCAAATACTTCTGCAATTACCACCCAAACAATTGAACTGAATGAGACCCTGGGGACTAACTTGGCTCCTAACTGGAGCTGCTGACAGCATGACAAGCCTTGCTGCAGGGGGATAGGAACTGCCCCCTCCTGCCCTGGTCCTTCCCAAGGGACAGTGTCCCCATGCCTGAGCAATGGGAATGTGCAGCCCAGTTTGATCACACCAGTTACCAAGGCAGCAGTTATCCCAAAAGCCTTTTTCCCCTCAGGAGCAGCAGATGTCCCTGCTGGCTGCTCAGGGTGGTGGGTTAGACATTTGGCAGCGTGGCAGAGCAGTGACTGGGGACACTCATGGTTTTTATTACACTGTTCTTCTGCCAACATTTTACAGATTCCATCAAAACCACAAAAAGGAGTTTACACTTCAGGGAGGACCTACAGTACTTGTTTCTTGTTGAATGTTTTTTCAAACAGCTACAGACTACTGCTGTAACAGCTCTTTAGTCTTTAGAACTGCTTTTCTCACTTGTGTTTAACATGTGAAACATCCCAGCTCCAATATTTCTTTTTGGAAGTGTAGTAGCAATCACAACAATGGAGCAAACTGGAAGGCCTTGATATGCACAATTCTAAATTATATCTGCTTGCAGTTGAAAAGGTAATTTGCTTAACTCTTGTCTTCATAGATTCTTGACTATTTGAAAGATCTTTAGAATTTTTCAGTACAAAAGATACATCATTACTAAAATCGGTATAAAGCAAGAGGATGCAAGGCAAGCAAAACTGTATTTCCTTACCTATGGAGGAGATGTTAACCTCCATTATTATTCCTCAACAAGCAGTTCTATAAGGCATGCATACCTCTTACTGTTGCCAAAGAGTTCAAGTCAGTGAACTGAAATCTGTATGGATTTCCTGATGGGTTTTTTGTTTTTCCTATCCCTAAAGGCTTATGGAATGATAAACAGATCAAAGAATGGTCATGGAATGGTTGGCTTGGAAAGGACCTTAAAGATCA